AAATCGAAGGAGAGAGAGAGAGTGAGACAAAGAGAACGAGAGAGAGAGATAATCAGAAACACACCTAATAATAATCGTCTTTTATTCACTATTATCAAAACTAATTGACGACAAAAACGTAAACACAATCAGTTATTTCAAGATTCAGACTCAATCATAATTAAATGGTTAAAATTATCTTCATTTCGAGGTTGTTTGTCTGTTAGAGCGGAAATTGCCTTGTTATTAATGATTTCCAGAGACCCACACCATTGTTTACCTGAGTTGTTTACATATGTCATTAATTACAGGTGGTGTATTGTTAGAGCACCACGTTATGTTGAGTTGGTTAAGTTGTCTAGCCTAATCTAACTTTATTTTACATGCCCTCACCTAACCTAACCTAACCTAACCCAGGTAGTGTGAGGGTAATTAAACCTAAGGTAAAAATGGCTGGGAGGGTCGAATCAATAGATAGATAGATGGATAGATAGATAGACGATTCTCCAAAAAAAGGTCCATAGGCTAATATTTTCCTCGAGTTGGTAACACTGACAAGACCTCCAGTAGAAAGACGAGAAGACGTGTAATTTTGGCGCCATCTCTGGGTTAAGGCAGGTGAGTTGTTTTGATAAATTGATGTCACGGATTGTTGAGGACCTAAGCTCAGTATAGTGTGGATGTATGGTGTATTGTGGGTGTATGGTGTATTGTATAGTGAATCGATATACAGTGTAGTACAATAAGATGATTTTGGTTTTATGCTGTTATTTTTACCGTCATGCAACACCTAGCAACGGAGCACCTCACCGCTCTCCCTCCGTCAGACACCCCCTCCCCTCCCCCCCGCGTGTCATGCAAGATTTCACAACATGCACACCACCATACCGCCATGACTGTTCCATCACCATACCTTCAGCACCATCACCATACGTTATTCATGACTGCACCATCATATTTCTGCCTTAATGTCCTCGCCTCACTATTGCAACTCTTCGTATTGTTATCCTTTTAAAAAAATAATAAGATATCGACACGTATCTAATATTTAATGTTATGGGTCTTTATGTGTGTGTGTGGGGTGGGTGTTACATGTGCGTGTTGGTGATGAAGGATAATCTCAGACTGGTACGACCCTTCCTAGCGGGGGCGTCAGTTTTATTCCCAGGATGAGGGAAGGAAGTCACGGTTCAACCAGACAGCTATTTTTAAATCCCCGCATTACTTTTTTTTTTTACCCAGGGACGATAGAAGTCAATGTCAAGTTCAGATATGATTTTAGCCTTTACGAGTAGTTAGAAAAAGGTTCATTAACTTCCACCCAGTTACAGAATTTAACACCATAATGCTAACCTAACTTAACCTATTCTAATCTAACTTATCATTTCCTTAATGCTAACATAACGACCTAATCTAACCTAACCACCCTAAGGCTAGTCTATTCTATCCAGGTTAGGTTAGGTTTTGTCAAACAGCTATATTCGTTGGTGGATGTGATCAAACTCCAACCTGTCACAACATAGCCTGGCGGTGGATCGCTTACCTGTACTCACTCTTTCTTCGCCAGGCACAACACTCAACCATTCTCCCATTGATATAAAGAGTACAAGCTCGTTTACTGGACATTGAAAAAAGTTCAGCGTTTAACTACCGCCATATTAACTTTTTTGTTAGAGAAATATTGTTGATCAAAGTTACGAGCCTTGCGTGAGTGTGGTCAATGTATACCAGAGCAGGAAGGTGCAGTGGACAGTAGTAGTGACAGTAGTGGTGACTAGGTTAGGGTAGGTTGTGGGGTATGGGATGTTTGGTTCACACTCAGGATGGGATGGAGAAAGGAAACTCACAATGTGCTCTCTGTATACATGTTGTATTGGATGTACAGTGCAGCTTGGTGCTGGGAAGGCAGCATGGTTACAAGCGTGATGTAGAGAGAGCTGGTTGGTGAGGATGCTCAGAGAAGGACAGCTTGTGGGTCGCCATACTCGCTGGCGGGAGGAGGACGAGGTGTTGCTGGCTGGTTGGTGTAGGTAGAAAGAGAGAGGTAGGTCACCACGAGGTCAGGTCTTATATAGCGGAGGTAGGCGTGGCTTAATAGTTGACCTCCGTCATGTATGGCGGCGCTGGTTGACCTAGACCACTGGGGAATTCGCGGGGTCGGCTACTCAGCGACAACCGTTTGTAGGGGAGGAATCCACTACAAGGTATTTCTGAGCTAAAGTGCATATTCATTGTTGTTGTTTTACAAGGGATATTTTAAGGTAAATACTAAGGCTAATAAATTATTCATCTTTCATAATAACCAAAAGAAATCTACTTCAGTCTGTATGGCTCAGACTCAGGCTGTGGTGAGGCTAGACCATAGTTGGTTGGTCAATGGACGAAGAACTACTGTACACGTGGTGCGTTCGTGTTCAGTCCGGCCCACCACCTCCTGCTCACTTCCTCCCCTTACACAACAATTGTTTCTTCTCCCCTTCACCTTTCTCTCCTCCCCACCACACCTTTCTCGCCTCCCCACCACACCTTTCTCTCCTCCCCACCACCTTTCTCTCCTCCCCACCACCTTTCTCTCCTCCCCACCACCTTTCTCTCCTCCCCACCACCTTTCTCTCCTCCCCACTTTCTCTCCACCTTTCTCTCCTTTCTCTCCTCCCACCACCTTTCTCTCCCCTCTCCTCCTTCACCTTTCTCCTCCCACCACCTTTCTCTCCCACCACCTTTCTCTCCTCCCACCACCTTTTCTCCTCCCCACCACCTTTCTCTCTCCCACCACCTTTCTCTCCTCCCCACCACCTTTCTCTCCTCCCCTTCACCTTTCTCTCCTCCCCACCACCTTTCTCCTCCACCACCCTCTCCTGCCTTTCTCTCACAGCTCCCTACCTAACCTAACCAAACTAAATGTAATGTAACCTAACCAAACCTAACTAAATGTAACCTAACCTAACCCCCAGGTAGCGTTAGGTTGATTAATAGGTGATATGGAAAAAATCCCCAACCCAAATCGACTCCCTACACTGTCTTAACTAATTAATTCCACCTTAGGTAACATATGCGGGGTAGTGATTTATATCCACCAATGAGGAAGCTGCTTTGGTATGTTGACAATGCGAGTGAATCATGTGATTGGCTGGCTGGTAATGGCGGGAAGTGGGTCATCTGAAAGCCTGGTAGGAGGGGGGGGGGCTTGCTTATTGATGGAATGCTTGCAAATGTCGAGGTGTGTGTGTGTGTGTGTTATTAAGTTTTATAATAGATCAGATAATCTTAAGACACTCTAACGCACTTTAGTACTTAACCTAACCCAACCTAACCTAACACACTTTAGTACTTAACCTAACCCAACCTAACCTAACACACTTTAGTACTTAACCTAACCCAACCTAACCTAACGCACTTTAGTACTTAACCTAACCCAACCTAACCTAACGCACTTTAGTACTTACGCGAGGCACCAAGACGTGAAATATTTAGTGAGCAAGAGTAGACTGGTTGAGGGCCGTGTTGTGACGCGTGTGACCAACACTAACGTAACACACACCTCATACGGCCACTATAAACCATCGTGTCTGTCTGTCTGTATTATAATTTTAGCTTCCTGTCTGTCTGTCTGTGTTATAATTTTAGCTCCTGTCTGTCTGTCTGTTATAATTTTAGCTTCTTGTCTATGCCTTTATTATTTTTGCTTCGTCAGAGAAATGTGACGTCATAGAGAAAAGTGACGTCAGAGAAATGTGACCTCATAGAGAAAAGTGACGTCATAGAAAAAAGTGACGTCAGAGAAATGTGACGTTATAGAGAAACGTCACGTAAATGTCACTCTTGTTGAGCCTTTCGTCGGAGAAACTGATGTGTGTGTGTGTGTGTGTGTGTGTGTGTGTGTGTTTAACCTAATATAACCTAACCTAAACCTGCTCCAACACCTGAACGTTGACAGTGAGGGTCGAAGGGGAGGGTGATAACACGAGGGACCACTCCCCTGTCTGTTGACGTGGGAGGGGAGAGGGGAGAGACAGGTGGTGCATGGGGAGGAGGGGAGAGACAGGTAGTGGGGGAGGAGGGGAGAGACAGGTGTGGGGGGGGAGGGGAGACAGGTGGGGGAGGAGGGGAGAGAGAGAGGAGAGACAGGTAGTGGGGAGGAGGGGAGAGACAGGTGGGGAGTAGGGGGGAGGGAGAGGGAGGTAGTGGGGAGGAGGGAGAGACAGGTAGTGGGGAGGAAGGGAGACAGGTAGTGGGGAGGAGGGAGAGACAGGTAGTGGGGAGGAAGGTGAGAGGAGGGGAGAGACAGGTAGTGGGAGGAGGGCTGGGGAGGAAGGGAGACAGGTAGTGGGAGGAGGGGAGAGACAGGTGGGGGAGGGAGAGACAGGGTCTAGATAGCAGGCATAGTTCAGGTATCATTTATCGATCTGATAATTAGCGGTTACGCTGTACTCTTTCTGCCTCACCACACGTGTGTACCTGTGTGTGTGTGTGTGTGTGTGTGTGTGTTTAAAGATATCCTCAGGTTAACTCTTAGTAATAAAGTGTTTTGGCATTGTCCAGTACAGAAGGTATTCCTGTGTGGTGGTAATTGTGGTAGAGACAGTGGTGGTCGTAGTGTAGTGATAGTACATGTGGTTTGTGGTGGTGGTAATAGTAGTAGTAGTAGTAGTAGTAGTAGTAGCGATAGTGGTACAGGACATGTAGGTTCCTAGGAACGATCTTGTTTACATTCGTTCACTGACCCAAATTTTATCGTTAACCTCCCTCCCACCTCCCTCCTCCCCCCCTCCCCACCTCCTCTCCCACCTCTTCTTCCCTTCTCACCTCCCCCTTCCACCCTCTCACTTCCGCTTCTTCGTCCCACTCCCCTTCCCATCCTCCCCCACGCACACACACACACACACACACACACACACACACACACACACACACCACACAATACCGAGAATAATACACGTAATTATCGTACAGCTGGTTATAATGGTCCGTTAAATGAACACGCCACCAACACAACAACTACCTTTAATTATGACATTTAGTGCTCTCTCTCTCTCTCTCTCTCTCTCTCTCTCTCTCTCTCTCTCTCTCGTATGTGTCAACCTGTAGCTGTTCTCTCTCCAACAGTGATGGAGGATGATGATGTGATAGAACCGACCCCAGTGGTGGTGATGGTGGGGCCCTCAACACACCAGGTGATGGGGTTGGTGAGTGTCCCGCTAGAAGGCAGCAGTGGTGGTGGCGGCATCTGGCGGAGGGACACCCAGCAGGAGGGTAGTGGTGGTATGGTCAGGTTCAAGAGAGAGTACAGCCTTGAGGACTTCCTTCTCTGGATGCCTTCTGGTAAGATAATAAAGACACAGTGAACTGATGTTGTCACTCCTCACCCACTGTGTCCTGGGTTCAGTTACTGGCCCGGGAGAGTGTGTTGGTTACCCGGTTTAACACTACCAAACATGACAGGTTTACAGACTAACCCCCCGAATGGCTAGTGACCTGATAAGGGGTGAATTGATACAATAAACGACTGTATATACCCGTATCTACAGTCTGGATTCACATATCAATCAGTTAACTGGCGCACACTACACCACTGAACCTCTGATGTAAACACATACTCTCAGTTGTTGTTATTAATGGTTGTGTTATTATTGATGGTTGTGGTTGTGTTATAGGAGATGGACCGACGGAGGAATGGCAGCACCGCCCTCGGGACACCTCGTGGATAAAAGGCGACGTGATCACCACTACCGTCTTCCTCACCACCACCGTGTACACTACCGTAGTTCAGCCCAGCCTCACCACCCTCTCCACCAGGTACTTGTCTGCCAAGTCTCCTCCAGATGATTTCACCTCCAGCGGCACCAACCCCAACCGGAACTCAGGAGGCAAGGAGCTGGGGGATGGATCAAGCCACGACTCCACCAGTACCACATCTAACAACGACAACAACTGTATTAACCAGACCAACTTGCTGGCACGACCCCAGAGTGACCACCCTCAGTCACGACCCCAGAGTGACTACCCTCAGTCAGGCAGTCCTACAAACCAACTCCCAGGCACCTCCTCCTCTTCCTCCACCTCGAGGGAGAAGAACAAGAGAGAGAAAAATGAAAGTAAGGAGACTAACTACGTAACAGTGACCCGGACAATCACCACACCTCCCCCTACGCTCACCACCACCCACCCCTCGGAGGCTGTCTACGATGCTACAGACCTCGTCCGTCCCTCCATTGAATACCCTGGACCGTCTGCCACCATCGTCAACCCATACGCCACGCCTATCATCTCCTCGACACATCTTCCAGGACTGACAGTCACTACAAAACTACCCCCAGCAGCAGGAGAGACAACCATCAACACCCAGCCATCACTATCTTCCTCTACTGACACATTCATCCACATTACACCTACTGCAACGCCTGGAGGAGGGACTAGAGGAGAGCACCCTGAAGGTGGAGTAGTACAGGGCACTCCTGAGTTACCGGACCCCACAATACTTACTGCTGCCCCCGAGACTTTGAGTAATGAAGAGTATCCAACCCCTGAGACGGTGACACCATTCTCTAGTCCTGGCGGTGTCACGCCCGACGTCGTTGTGCCAGTGGGATCGCCAGGAACTACCACTGAAGAGGACGTCTCAGTTACCACAGTGGCAGAGGACCATAACACCCACCACCATCAGGAGGAGAGACGCCCCTTACCCAGTGTAGATATCACAGTTCCTAGTTTTCCTGATACTGAGGCAACAAGAGGAGGCGTTGCTACAGAAAGCACCAATAATGACGTGCCTGACGAAACAGAGACTCGCCCTTGTGTAGAAGGTTCTCCTGATGCTGTAGATGATCACACTCAGGATTCACCTGACGAAGTCGTCCCTATCACCACCCCTTCAGGTCTATTTACTCCTTCCCCCACAGGACTGGACCACCCTCCTCCTCCTCCAGACACCTTCCGGCCAATGTTTGAGAGGAACACTACCATCTTTCATGAGATAGAGTTGTTTGATTTGACAACGCCGCCATCTGACCGCAATGAATCCATCTTGTGGGGAACCGACACAATGGATGATGGTAACACAGCGGATGATGGTAACACAGCGGATGATGGTAACACAGCGGATGATGGTAACACAGCGGATGATGGTAACACAGCGGATGATGGTAACACAGCGGATGATGGTAACACAATGGATGATGGTAACACAGCGGATGATGGCAACGCTGCGGATGATGGTAACACAGCGGATGATGGTAACACAGCGGATGATGGCAACGCTGCGGATGATGGTAACACAGCGGATGATGGTAACACATGATGGTAACACAGCGATGATGGTAACACAGCGGATGATGGTAGCTGGATGATATGGTAACACTGCGGATGATGGTAACACGGCGGATGATGGTAACACAGCGGATGATGGTAACACAGCGGATGTTGGTAACACAGCGGATGATGGCATGCGGATGATGGCAACACTGCGATGATGGCAACAGCGGATGATGGCAACGCTGCGGATGATGATGGCAACGCTGCGGATGATGGCAAGACAGCGGATGATGGTAACACAGCGGATGTTGGTAACACAGCGGATGATGGTAACACTGCGGATGATGGCAACGCTGCGGATGATGGTAACACAGCGGATGATGGCAACGCTGCGGATGATGGTAACACTGCGGATGATGGCAACGCTGCGGATGATGGTAACACAGCGGATGATGGTAACACAGCGGATGATGGTAACGTAACCTTGACAGTCCCTATGTTTGTTTATTCTGAATCGGTGGACCAGGAAACTGGTCTGGTGTTTAACATAACAGAAAGTGAATCTTTACCACCAGTCCAAGATACCAGTGGTGGTGACGGAGGTTTAGTGATCAGTGTTCACCCTCTGCCACCCACTACTGTCTCGGCTCAGGACTACACCACTATGGCCCCTCCTGATGAAGAGATAGTCACACCTGTCCCTGAAGGCGGAGTAGTACAGGGCACTCCTGAGTTACCGGACCCCACAATACTTACTGCTGCCCCCGAGACTTTGAGTAATGAAGAGTATCCAACCCCTGAGACGGTGACACCATTCTCTAGTCCTGGCGGTGTCACGCCCGACGTCGTTGTGCCAGTGGGATCGCCAGGAACTACCACTGAAGAGGACGTCTCAGTTACCACAGTGGCAGAGGACCATAACACCCACCACCATCAGGAGGAGAGACGCCCCTTACCCAGTGTAGATATCACAGTTCCTAGTTTTCCTGATACTGAGGCAACAAGAGGAGGCGTTGCTACAGAAAGCACCAATAATGACGTGCCTGACGAAACAGAGACTCGCCCTTGTGTAGAAGGTTCTCCTGATGCTGTAGATGATCACACTCAGGATTCACCTGACGAAGTCGTCCCTATCACCACCCCTTCAGGTCTATTTACTCCTTCCCCCACAGGACTGGACCACCCTCCTCCTCCTCCAGACACCTTCCGGCCAATGTTTGAGAGGAACACTACCATCTTTCATGAGATAGAGTTGTTTGATTTGACAACGCCGCCATCTGACCGCAATGAATCCATCTTGTGGGGAACCGACACAATGGATGATGGTAACACAGCGGATGATGGTAACACAGCGGATGATGGTAACACAGCGGATGATGGTAACACAGCGGATGATGGTAACACAGCGGATGATGGTAACACAGCGGATGATGGTAACACAATGGATGATGGTAACACAGCGGATGATGGCAACGCTGCGGATGATGGTAACACAGCGGATGATGGTAACACAGCGGATGATGGTAACACAGCGGATGATGGTAACACAGCGGATGATGGTAACACAGCGGATGATGGTAACACAGCGGATGATGGTAACACAATGGATGATGGTAACACAGCGGATGATGGCAACGCTGCGGATGATGGTAACACAGCGGATGATGGTAACACAGCGGATGATGGCAACGCTGCGGATGATGGTAACACAGCGGATGATGGTAACGTAACCTTGACAGTCCCTATGTTTGTTTATTCTGAATCGGTGGACCAGGAAACTGGTCTGGTGTTTAACATAACAGAAAGTGAAACTTTACCACCAGTCCAAGATACCAGTGGTGGTGACGGAGGTTTAGTGATCAGTGTTCACCCTCTGCCACCCACTACTGTCTCGGCTCAGGACTACACCACTATGGCCCCTCCTGATGAAGAGATAGTCACACCTTCTGTCCCTGAGTTCATGTCCACGACGGGGAGTGTTGAAGCAGTGGACCCCATACCTACAGGTGATGAGGTCATACAAGAGGGCGATAATACCACAGTTTGGGAGGGCGTCTTCATCTATGAAACTTTTACTTCTGACTCACCAACTTCAGAAGTGTTCACCAGTGACTCTCCTCCACCACTAGAGTCATCACAGGAAACTCCCACTGAGGTTCCTGAGACTATTAGCTCGGTCATATACACAGACCAACAACTAGATGTACACGAGTCCTCTACACCATCATGGGAAGGAACTACACCATCACAACCTTCCTCCACAGATGAAGAGTTGACAGTGTTGACCCACACAAGTGTTCCTATAGCTTCCACGACAGCCACAGCCCCAGTCTCCATCACTGTGTCCTTTACCAGCTCCAGGGAGCCCGGGATGATCTCCACGCCCAGCACCACAACGCTGCCTGTCATCCACACCACAATAAAGTCCGTCAGTCTGTCTACCACTACTGAGAAGAGTTCTTTAACTTCTCCTGCAGGAACCATACCAGCAACTCCCCGGATGACGGAACATATTACAGGACCTCAGTTCAGTTCACCCAGTCCCAGCAACAGAGCTACAGTTCCACTTGATCAGAAGTACTGGGTCCGGACAGTGCTGGAGGGGCCACCTCCACAAGACAACTCCTCTCAGCTGTACTGGGCCAAGGTAGAGTCCGATCTAAGTGGGGTCTATAGACTGGCCTATGAGCGCAAATTTGCCAGACTGTACAAAGCGCAACAAAGAAAAGATGTTGATTTGCTTTATAACACTAAGATTGATATGGCTTTTGCCTCTACTGAGTCACCCAGCGTGACCACAATGAGTGACCTGTTTGAGAATTACACCATAATCATCGCCAGGGGGAAGAGAGATGTGACGGACTCACCTGCCAGTAAACACACACGACCCGTGAGGACACTTTTAGCAGACGTCAACGCTCACGCCGAGCCTCCTAAAAGGTTCAGGACTGCCCCGGGACTCCTGAGAAGGAGAATATTAGTCCCTATCCACACTGTGGCAGTGAAAGATGAAAAGCCAGTGAGAAATATAAACCAGAAAACACTACACGTGATCACACCTTCTTACAACCCACACACTCGCACCGCAAGACGAAAACGTTGGCTTGAAGGTTATGTTAAACATAAACCAAAGTCACCTGAACGAATGCAGTCACTTTATACATCACAGGCACGCAGGAGGCGTACTGCAGCCAATCAGGTGAAGGTGCGCCTCCAAAACGTAACCTACGACAACACCACAGACCTAACGGAGCTGGTATACACCGTGTTTGATGGCGAGGAACCTATACTGGCGACGGAAGCTGTCGTCTACATGTCCGAAGTGAACGACATGGAGATGGCCATAATGATGGACCAGGTGGTCAAGATTAAAGCTGAAGGTTAGTGTTAACATCTACAACATTCTCCTTCATGATGATTTAACCTGTGGTCATGATAATTTAACCATTTGATTAATATGATGTAACCTCTCGACCACATTGATTTAAAAGTACTGGTTCATCTTATTTAAGGAAATACTTCTTCGTTTTTCAAAGGGTAAAGCAACTGATATGTGTCAGCTCATCACACCTCAATTTACAGAGTATCTACGTGGTCCATCGCCGCCACAGAGGCAGGGGACTCTGGTGTATGGGATCATAGGGGGTGTGGTGGGGACGGTGATGCTGCTCGTGTTCCTCATCTGGCTCAGTGCCTTCCTCTACAAAAGACACAAGAACACTAGAGAAGAACTACGACCGGACTCTGAGGTTAGTCAAGGGATTTATGGTGTATCTAGCGCGCACTCACACACACACACCAAGTTGCTTAATGTACTTTGCTGAAGTTACGAGTTGATGAAAGTTTTAATTTCAGCGATTAATTACTTCAGCTGTTTTTAGGGGACATGTTGCATTCACTGTTGACAGCATCTTATTGAACACAGTCAATTGTTTCTTACGTGATTTTGAGTTCATCCACCTTATTGTATTAAAGTCAAATATTGTCCTTTTTCCTTGTGAATTATGAAGTACGTAATCTATAACTGTCATAGAGAGAGAGTGAGAGTGAGAGAGAGAGAGTGAGAGAGAGAGAGTTATGATATACAGTACTCGTATATTTTCTGCCTCCCTCAAATAATTCCCCACGTCATCACCCACAGGCAGCATCACCGAGGAGTCAGCTGAGCACCAATGCCTACACCGGTCACATCAACATGGGCTTCACCCCCAGGGACGAGAAGGTGGGTCTAGAGGCCTGTGTACCGCTGAATTCTGAGGAGGGGGAACATTAGGTACAGTAGTTCGTGATTTATATGTTCCTCCACTCCCTGTTTGTACAAGTTAAAAAAAATAAAGGAACTAGAAGAGAATAGGGTGGGTTAAAAGAAAGAGAATTAGACATTTGAAGAAAAATAGATGTTCCTGCCTCTCACTATTATGTCCTGGGTTCGATCTCCAGCCTGGGACAGATATGAGAAGGGTGTTATCCAGTGTGACCTTACCAAACACGACAGGTTTTCTCCGAGTACTCTAGTGGTGACCTCCTGTACCAACACTAGACAATACCATTCATAACATAAGTAGTAAAGAATAAACCAACTGTCCAAATGACAAGTAAGCTGATAAGTTATAGAAATATAATGATAAGCAGTTTAAAGAGGAATAAAATGATAGTTTTATTTTATAAGTGTTTTTTGTTGTTGGTTTATTGTATTTGTGGTGGTGTGACCTTACATGACCTGGTTCTCTCCCAGCTAGAAGCAGTGCCGCTACCTTCGACCTCCCGTGACCTGGATGATGACCCGTGTTCTTCCTCTCCTACTGGGTCACATGACAGCCTCATCAGCAGACCCAAACAAGGTCTTGTGTTGACAGGTTTACTCAACTGTTATACTGTGGATGATTAATGAACACTTGTGATGTCATCATTGTCATCTTCAGCCTCTATTTATCAAGTTACATTAAAGCCTATCAGTGTTTCATCTTTGGTCATCACCTTCATCATCATCATCATCATCATCATCACCACCACCACCATCATCTACCTCATCATCATCATCATCACCAGCCTCCATTATTTTGTCTCAAGCACTTCCTGCCCATTAAACTTCTTAATTTCATCCGACCACTTGACTCTTGCTTGGAGCGATGTATGACACAGCTTTCATGTCACACGGATCATGTTGAGTATTAGATGCTTCATGTACAGTACTTGTTTAGTGAGTTTTATGTCACCTCAATTTTTTTCAACACTCAAAAAATATATCCATTGATTTTCTGGTCAGTATGTCAGAGGTCAGGACCACTGATCATTGTTCTTTACATGTTCTTCAGTATTCACACAACCAGTTTGTCCATTTGGAAAGTTTTTCTCTTGTAAGACATAACTGCCTTTACTGAGTTTGAGTGTTTATCATAACGACAAAATTGTGACTCACAGGTCCATCACTGGGACGCCACCACAGCCAGGAGGAGGAAGACGACAAGAAATCAGGGGGTGACTTTTCTAAAGATGAAGATTATAACATCACAGAGGAGGTGAGAAGCAATCAACTAATGATAACTTTTTGTACACACATATACCAGAGGATACATATTCTGGTTGTCCTCTCTCACACCAGGAAGAGAGCCTGGGATTGTCTGCCTCTGAGAGTTGTAAAGACACGGTTAATGAAACAATTAGAGATGGATTATGGTGATACTTGGTATGTGGATGTATCACAAGATGTCACACTTGTTCTGTAATCATCATGTACTAACAGCTTTACCTGCAGTTATTGCCATTAGGATTTAATTGTGGTTTGGCAGAATCTGTACTTAATTCTCTTCTCGTCTCATTGGTCTTGATAAGTTTTACTGAATCTCTAACGATGTCACACAGGTAACAGACGGTCGCCGGCTGGAGAAGCAAGGAATGTCAGTAGAAGAACCCCTGTACAGCTCCCCCAACCCTGTCAACGTCCAGTACCAACCTTCTCACTCCATCGACTCCAAGTACGACACTACACACTCAGAGTTGACCTCAAGTGACCTCCAATATGACCTCACTAACCAACTGATATCCAACATGAAGCAGAGTGCCGATAGGTTCACTCACAAGGACAAGGGCTCCATCTTCTTGCCTCCACCGCTCCTCCCACCTCCCAAGGGCTTTGGCAAGGCTCAATATTCACCTTTCATCCCAGGGACGTCCCTTCCTAGGTTCCTGCCACCACCAAGACTTCATAAACAGGCACATATAAAGCTGGGTCAAGGTACTCCTTCTCTGATCCAGGCTTATGACTATGACCCCGAGGCGCCTCCCATCCCTCCCAGAAACTACACGCGGGAGGAAGCCGACTTGCCACCCCTAGGACAAGGCCACACATCCCCACTACGTCCCCAAATGAAGGATGCCCAGGTGGAAGCCCATGTGGAGAATGAGGCTAATGAATCATCTGGGAGCATTGAGGTGAGAGAGAGAGAGAGAGGTCAGTTTAGTAGCCAGTGGATGAAAATGATCTTCATCTTCATTAACAATATGCAACTTAACACTACCAGTCTCCAATCCCTCTATGATCATGAGCTGCCATATAATATGTTGCCCTTCCCCTTTCTTTATGAAGTTATCTCCAACAAGCCCTCCCCCTACAAGTTCTTCCTCATCAGGTCCTTTCTTTACTAGCCTTTCCACCACAATATATTCTCTTGTACTAACACATCTGCACTAACACCTCTCCCACAAGCCCGCTAACAATTACATCTACAGGAGAGAGTTCGGCGGACATCTGATTCGTCAACACATCCGTCAGAGTCAGCTGGGTCAGAGGGGAGCAGTGCTCCTCACATAGGTCGTCTCCGTCGCCGCTTCCATGACCTCCTAGATGATGCCTTCTCCCTCTTGAATGGCCAACGCCCTGGGGATAAAGTCACCCCCCTCACAAGCCCATCCCCAACCAGGACAGGTCGATCAAGGTCGGCAGCAGTGCACCACAGGTTAGAGAAAGTAGAGTGATGTGCATAGTGATGGAGTCAGTGTCCTAATGAAGCCTTTAACCAGCTACTATATCTGTTAATGCACATACTTCTCACATCCGTGTCCTGGGTTCAGTCCCAGGCCAGAAAAGATATTAGACATGTTATCCAGTTTAACACAACCAGACATTGCAGGTTTTCTCAATGTACTCTGATTTTTTCATGTTCTAACACTGGGTAATGAAGGTTGTAACAAAGTATCAAAGAACAGACCAACTCCCACCACCAGCTAGTAAGCTGATATGTAGTGAATAAATACAAATGAATATAAACCCAAGTTAAACATAACATTAATCAAGTACTCTTATACCTGTTAATAATTTGCTCCTTTCTAACATTACGGGTATTTTCATTCCTTTATAATAAACTATTGTGTTGTTACCTAATCTGTTCTAAGTAACAAAATGTAACTTAACTAAACTAACCTAACTTATCCAGAACTAACTAGACTTATCCATGTTAACCTAACCTAACCTAACACAGGGGCCCAACTCAAGAGGCGGTGGAGGGGGAGGATAGTGGTGATGGTGCTGGACGTCCCTGGTCAGCTGCTGCAGTACACACTTCCACCACCACTGCTTGGAGGAACAACCAGGTGTGATGCATTTATGTAAACACTCTAGACAGTATTAGCTAGACAGAGATTTTTATGTTCCAGTCTTGCAGTTTTCACACCATTGTAAGAAGGGCGTTCAGACACCTCGATGGTCCATCCCTTGTAATGCTCTTCAAAAGACTGCCACGCCTGCACTAGGGCACCTCAGTTACCCAGAGATTATTAGAATGCATGCAGTTGCCTAGCTTTTACTATAGGTGGACAAAGGATGACTTTATAAACACCTCAGAAGGCACTACTCAATCAAGTATTCATACCTGGAGCTGGGGGATGCCCGCCTCACTCATCCTGGCACTCTCCTATTGCTTTCTACTCTTGTCTTCTAACATCTCTCCAACATTAATTACCTTCTTCCTTTGAGGTTTATATATTTTAACTCTTGATTTAACAAAAAAGAGAGAGGAGTAAAGATAAAAGGTGGATAGTAGTAAAGGCCATGGATGGAGAAACAAGGAATATGTAGCTGCAAGATTCTGCTGCTATATCTTACAATAACACCAAGCTGTATGTTGCAGGTGGTGGGTGTAGTACCACTGGAGGACAGTAACACATCACCTAAATCTGCATGGGGAGATGGTGCTGGTCGATATGGTGGAAGACCTGGTAGTGCTCGACCTGGTAGTGGAAGACCCGGTAGTGCTAGACCTGGTAGTGCTCGACCTAGCAGCGGAAGACCTGGCAGCGGTCGTCCAGGCAGTGGTCGAAGTGCACGAAGCATCACCCCGGTCAACCATCCACCTTCACCAGATCGAACAGATGGTAAGAAAGTCGTACTAAACTACCTTGACCATTGAATACATTTTTAACCCCCAAAATATCAAGAGCTGCCTGGGTGACTTAGCTAGTAGACTGCCAGGAGCCTCATTATAAACTGTGGCTTATCTTGATAATGATATGGATCTTCGAACACCCCCAAGAATCATTGTTGTTGCATTAAGTTCTTATTAACTCATTTTATTTTATTTGTTCATCATTGGTGTTGTTCCTGGTCTATTCTTGTCTTGTGGGATCAGGCTGAGTATCACTGAATCACTGCTGAAAATAAAGGATCTGATGGCTTTGTTGACTTGAATCTATTGAGCAAAATATCCTTTGGACCAGAGTGTGGCAAGTGTTAGTCCCTTTGTTCTCTCCATAACATATATAACTTGCTGATAGAAGATTAACTTTCCAGGTGCATATGGAGGATCAGAGGAACCTTTGGACCCAGACACAGGCCTGCGCTCTTCAGACCCTGCCGTCCCTCTCATCAAGGCCATCAAGGAGGAGCTGAGACGCTTCAAGTCCACCATCAGTACCGAGTCCTCCAACATCTGATGAGGCTTTTAACATTAACCCGTAAACAGTAGCCATCATCAGCAGAAGTTAGCTACAAGGACAGCCGCCATCATCAGTGAATGTCCCATTTCCTTACGTTCCTTTAATATGTACAGTATATGAAAACGAAGTAAGGAACTTTTAGCTGCTGGTTAAGGGTTAGGTAATACAGCACCTCCCAAGGCAGTCAGCTGTGCTGGGCAATTCACCATTCCTACATCGCACAATGATATCTTTCTGGAAGGTACATGAGACAAACATTCACTCTTGGAATAAAAAATGTCGGGCATTTCCATTCTGTGGTAACGATACATTTAAAAATGAAATTCCAGATTACTGTGGCTGGTGTTCCCCTTCACCTTGCAATGACATTATGGAAGCTACGCCATATAAACATTGTTCATATAGTATGTGCCTAGCAGACTTATCACAACACTGTGTTCACAAGAAGCCTCAGAGAATTGTAAATTTCTTACAAGTGGGCAGTACAATCCTCCTCCAAGTGACTAACTCACTGTGTATCCTCTAAGTAGTTGTTATATGTACAGTAGTGGTCTACTTCAGAAATGTAGTACTACGGAAAGTCTTGTTAGGTGCAAGTAGTAATCTCCGTATTCTTTTTAAATGCGATGATTTAATTTAGATACGCAGTACTTTCATGGTTCTTCCAAATCCCGCGTGGACGTCCTTTAGTGTAACAAGATAATGGCTGTTGTTGAAACTTGACTGCATTTATCTAAGCACTAGTGGGTTACCTTACCATGTTTCAGTTGCTTTGATTTTAAGTCGAGCTTTATTCCGTAGATTTGAACATGTAAGAAATGAGCTGAAATGAGGAGTTTTTGGTACTGTACATTCTTAGTCCAGTTATATGGACTTTGAAATTGAAGAAGACTTTTTTCAATATATGGCAAATACCTGTGGATGAACCTAAGAAAACATGAACACTTTAACCCACATAGAATTACTGAGTAAACTTATAATAAGTTTGGGAACCTTGGCAATGATGTTGTTGTAGTTGGCAGAGAAGTGAGGAATGTCCTCGGGTATGAACTTCCAAGAGAAGGCAGTGTATGGTTGGTTAATGATGGTGTGATGATAACCACATCAACGTGTCATCAAAACCTAAGTCATTCACATATATCTAAAGAAGAAGAGACATACAGTATCTGCAACACAAGTATCTGTAGGTTGTGGTAGAGCCTGTAAAATAATAACGCATTGGGAACAACACGACAGGGGGACCAAGTAAGGATGTCTGTCTGTATGCGATGGTTAGTTCTCTCCGCAAACTCTCAGTTGTATTGAAGTGATGAGAGACCAAACAAGTTTTATGTCTTCAACTCTGACAAAAACAATCACATGGTAGAGACTTGAGTAGACTTAAGATGATCTGAAATAACTTAGAGAGAGATGTATGACTGAGGAAATATATAAGTCTGGTTTTAGTGTACAGTTTTGTGGTGACAATAATGTATGTTACTATGATGATTATACTGTACTGTTATACCTCTGTGACAGTTTCATATCAGGTTGTGTAGGTCATAGTAAACGTATCATTGCCTTTTTATTACTATTCATAGGTTACTCCTATATAGACCATTTTTCTAGATATTTATTGGAATGCTGATGTTATCTCTTCATAAAACTCCAGCTCGTATTTTGTGTGTCAAGTTAATTCGATTTAATTGTTTAACATCTGTCACAAGCTGATTTTTCAAGACTATTTTTAAGATACCCATTTGTATAATATATGAGTGTTGATGATAGGCTTAACCTCCCCGGGCAAGCTCTACCGATCATTAGTTTTACCATTATTGATTTTCCTTTGTGAGTTTTTAATGTTTGACAAATGTTGGTGTAATATTTCTTTTTGAATTAAACCTTTATGACCATTATTCTGTTAGCTTTGGTGGTCACCTCTACACTATGTATAAGAACATTGCCAGTGGAATATATTAATATACTGTACAGGGTGTCCATAAATTATGTGACTCATTATAAAACTTAATAACCTCAACAAAATAATACTGTACTGTAGATAGTGCACAGGTGGAGATCTACTGAGACAAGGATGATTCTAGTACTGTACTGTATTGTATAATAAAACCAGTGACTTGGAACAATCTGCCCGACAGTGTTGTGACAGCACCAAGTGTGAGCTCATACAAGACCAGACTTGATCAATGCTGGAGCAGGTTCAGGTACATTCAGGAGCCAGTGCATGCCCAGCACTTGCCAACAGTGTGTAACAGAGACGTGACCAACCACCCAAGTGGCTAACGAGTTGATCAGTGGTGAAGAGGATAAAAGTAAAAGTGTTCTGTCTATAATGTTTTTAAGGTTATTAAATTTTATAATGAGTCGGATAATTTATTTGATTGTTTTTCAAGTGACATTTTTCAAAAGTAAGAATAAACTTTGCACCTTGAGCTCTGCCTCTTCTTTTATATTTCATCAGTTCCATTACTTGATCAATTACTGTTACAACAATTCATTTAATAGCTTTTTATATTTTTTGTTTTTCATATGCCAGGTTATTGTGCCAAATACTGTACTGTCTACCTTCACTATTATCCTCTGTTTCCAAGTAGAGTGGACTTTTCCCTTACATATACTGAGGCAGTGTTTGTGAAGGTCATCAATGGCTGTCAGTCATGTGCAGCTTCTCTTATACCACTGATTAATTATTACTATTATTATTTAAGTTATTATTATTATTACAGGGTATTATTATTATTATTAATACTATTACTGTATTACTATTATTATTATTATTATTATAACTACTAATTTTATTGATATTGACTATAATTTCAATAATAATACATATTTTATACTGTATTAATAATGTTTGGCAGGCAGCATCTGTCATGTTAATATCAAGAAACATTTTACTGTATGAGGACAAAATACTTCCGTACTGTGCTATCATGTGTGGGATATCAACGAGCAGTTCCAGAAATGACTTCACCAGCCTTACCCCTTTATGGGAACTGTTATCCCAATGTCCAATTTTAATGTAGTTTGGGTTTAAAGGTTATATTATACAGAGTGTCCATGATTTATCTGTAAAACTTAATAACCTCAAAGCATTATAGATAGGACAGGATGCACAAGAGGAAGTTTACCGAGATAAGAAAAAACTGATGAGGTTTTTGCCAAGTAATAATATAACTGGTGTGTTCTTTCTTATAGATTTTTTAAGCTCTTAAGTTTTAACATCAGTCAGATAATTTATGGACACCTTTTTTAACATTCTTGAACTTTCATAATTTGACAGCAAATTTGGCTTTAACTGAATTTTTTTTTAATCTGTCCAGCCCATTCCCTGTGAGTCAGCCTGCCAGACACTTGGTCAGAGTCATAATTTTCTATGGACCAAAGTTTTATGTCTTGAGAGTACAATACTGTTCTGTAGTGGACTCACTGTTAGGCAGAAAATCTCTCAACAGACAATATTTTGGATGCAATTAGTGTACAAATATGTGTAACTCGAGTTAGGCAGATAAACTTTTATCAAAACGTTATATATAGCTTAATGAAATACTGTAGAATTTTGTAGGAAAACTTTAATTTGGGTGTACAGCAAACATAGCATTTTTATGATATTCTCTTCACTCTTACAAGCCTGGGTGGCACTTTGGTGTCTGGGATCAAGAGTTATGCACAGTTTCCCTTCATTCACTGCCATGCTTTCTCTCTCTCTCTGACTTGTGTTCCCCTTCCTCAATAAACTTTCAAGATATTCATTCATCCATTAATATACCAAGAGGAAAATTATATAGAAATTTTGGATCAAATGAAGAGCAGGAGAAATATGGGGACAAAAGGAGGGAGTGTTGCAAAACAAGTGTAAAAAATTGCAGGAAATGGTTATACTGTACAATAAGTAGGGACACTAAACACACCCAGTACAGAATGAATCCTAAACCTGTACAGTATTTCTAAGGATAAAATGGCACTCTGTAATGTGTAGCTCACTCCAGCCTTTCCTGCCTAACAGTTGATATAAAACACTGTAGAATACCAGCACCAAATAAATATGTATTTGAATGCTGAACAACTTATTTTAATTTATTTATTTTTCTCCATAGAAATTATTACCATTGAGTTTCTTTGTCTTTCTGTCTGTCTGTCTCGTGCTCTGGTGGAGACTTGCTGGTAAGACTTGATGTTAACATCAATATCATTATTCACCTTCTGTTGTTAATGTTTCTTCAAGCTCTCTACTCTTCCTGAGCTGTTAGATTGTTCCAACTTGATCATCTGAACTCTCTTTAATATAAAACCTAATGTTTGTAGCCAGTCTTAATAATGAGCTTTATAAAAACATACAAATGAAGACAGGACTGAACACATTAGCTCTTCTGTGATGTTCATTCCTAAAATGTATTTGGTGTTCTGACCATCCAAAACCAATATCAACAGATGCTTAACAAACCACTGGATTCAAAGCTTCATCTACTGTTTTTTGTTTAATATTATTTTGGGGTTAGTCTCTTCAAGTCTAAGCATTTGAATCTTATTATTTCATAGGGAAAGGGTCCATGTATTGTTCTTGGTCAATAGTGCAGTATCCTATAATTTATTTGAGCCATAGTTAACATGTATTCCTGTCTTGCTGATAATTATCATATTCCAAGGAATAGTAATCCCTACTATCTCCCTGTTAACGTGTGTAGCACTGGTAGGTGAACAGTATAAATCTTTTCCGTCCACAGTTTAACACCGGACACACTAACCCTATGTACTGTACTGTACTCAATGACCAGTTCGACGGTCAGTCTTGCTTTCTTTACCTGCATTAATCTGTATCACCTGACAATCACACTGTTGGGCATGTGGTCTTGGGACAACTGACAATTGTATTTAAAAAGTGATAAGAGAGGTTGGTCAAGGTGTCTGAAGGACATCTTAATGTAATTTATATTATCTTGGATAAATAAAATGTTTAGATTATCTGTGACTTTCATTAATGAGTTGGCTTTCAATCAATATTTGAAAAGTACATAAGGTACTGTATACTATGTCAAGATTTACTGTATACTAAATAACCAACAAATTGTTTATTAGAAAATCAAAGTATATTTGGTTCATGATAATACTTATTAAAAAATTACAATGATACAGCACAATCAAAGATAAGCTTATGCACTAGATTCTCAAAACATCGTACCAGTATATAATTTTGTTCTCATAATTACACCGTATATGAGAGAACCATCCAGTAGCCTGCAGCACCATCTTCACACACCAGCCGCTTCGTCTCACCGGCTGTTTGTTTGGCTATAAGCCGAATTAGTGTATTTATTTATATTTATTTTACGACACTTTAAACACTTCACGACACTTACAAACACTTAATACACTGAGAAACACTTAAGGATAATGTGTAGTCCTCATTACCTCGTGTTAAGAGAATTGAACTACTGTCAGGGGCTTGGCTGGATCTTTGTTTAAATGAGCTTCATATAATCTCAAGTAAAATTTGACATAAATCATGAAACAATAATAATTTAAAATATAACACATAAACGGTGATATTTTCTGTTTATTCGTCACTTAATTTTTTTTAGTATTATTATATTATTCAAGGTCTTATTTGACCAGCCAGCCGCCTCACTTGCTTCACCAATTGAAGAACAAATGAACACTCCTACACAGCGCTCTGATAAAATAAACGCCTGTGTGCTCTCTCCACTTCAAAGTAATTACAGACTTGAGTACAGAAGAAACTAAGTGCAGTTTAAAGGGTCGACCACAGTATCCATGGCCAACCCATTATCAGGATGCAGGTATGTGTGGTATTATCATTATCAAGCCTGCTAGTCCTTACTATATAAAATCAGGAAATATAATGTCATGTCTGATTCATACTACGTCATACTAATTCTTTTTGATATTGGAAATGAATTGTGTGAGCGACGGCAAGTTAAGAGGAGATGGCACTAGGCTATCCGAGATACTTGTTTGAAGAGAGTTCATATTATTTCTTTAGTGTCTGCTTAGTTATGTCGGCAAACATATAATTATTGTAATGGTAATGTTTATCTATCTACATGACAATATATAACATAATGGTTTTAGTGGTACAATAAAAGTAGGAATATAAAGTAGGTATTACAAAAATATTAATTATGTGGTATCAGTCAATATCCAGTGACTCAATTTTTTATGCAATACTACAACACGCCCGCCGCCCCCCTCTCTCTCCTTCCGTCCTGTGGGAGGGGAGGAATGAAAGACGGAGGGGTGAAGAGGTCAGGTCACAGTAGGGGGATCACATAACACGGGTCAAGGAAGGAAGTGTCAACAAGGTTGTTCCGGAGTCATCTTGGGTCAGTATCGCTGCCATTGTTTATCTACACCACTGACCTCTGGGCGGGGGGTAGGGGTGAGGAGGGTAGGGAGGTGAGGAGGGCGGGGTAGAGAGAGGGGTAGGAGGCGGGGAGAGAGAGAGAGAGAGAGGGCAGTAGGTGTTAAAATCAATCAGTCAGACAGGAGGAGCCACCTGTTTATCAAGCTGCAGTAGGGGTAGGTGACGTGTGTGTCGCCACTCCTCCTCCCCATTCTGGTTCCGGAAGTCTAATAAGAAGGGAGGGGAGTAGGGGAGGGTGTTGACAGCTGATCACGTCCATCCTTCATCCCCCACCTCTCCCTACCCACCACTGAGAACACCACCATCCCTCCCCAGTCGTCCTCCCCCATCCCTTCCTCCCCTAGACAAGTAGAAATTCCTTCCTTCCCCAACACCCCGACCTTCCCCAACACTCGACCTTCTCCCCCCAACACCCCGACCTTTCTCCCCACCCTGACCTTCTCCCCCAACACCCCGACCTTTCCCCAACACCCCGACCTTCTCCCCCAACACCCCGACCTTCTCCCCCAACACCCCTGACCTTCTCCCCAACACCCCCGACCTTTCTCCCCAACACCCCGACCTTCTCCCCCAACACCCCGACCTCTCCCCAACACCCCGACCTTCTCCCCAACACCCCGACCTTCTCCCCCAACCCCTGACCTTCTCCCCAACACTGACCTTTCTCCCCAACACCCCGACCTTTCTCCCCAGCACACCCTGACCTTCTCCCCAACACCCCTGACCTTTCTCCCCAACACCCCGACCTTCTCCCCAACACCCCTGACCTTCTCCCCCAACACCCCTGACCTTCTCCCCAACACCCCTGACCTTCTCCCCCAACACCCGACCTTCTCCCACAACACCCCGACCTTTCCCCCAACACCCTGACCTTCTCCCCAACACCCCGACCTTCTCCCCAACACCCCGACCTTTCTCCCCAACACCCCGACCTTTCTCCCCAACACCCCGACCTTCTCCCCCAACACCCTGACCTTCTCCCCAACACCCCGACCTTTCTCCCCAACACCCCCGACCTTCTCCCCCAACACCCCGACCTTTCTCCCCAACACCCCTGACCTTCTCCCCAACACCCCGACCTTCTCCCCCAACACCCCTGACCTTCTCCCCCAACACCCCGACCTTCTCCCCAACACCCCGACCTTCTCCCCCAACACCCCGACCTTTCTCCCCCAACACCCCGACCTTCTCCCCCAACACCCCGACCTCTCCCCCAACACCCACATGTAAACGTGAGAGGTGAGGGCGATAATCTCTAGTATCAGGAGAACTAAGTGGGCAGCCAACCAGAGAGATAATTAACTATAACTCCCACGTCACCAACCATAGAGATAATTAACTATAACTACCCACGTCACCAACCAGAGAGATAATTAACTATTACTACCCACGTCACCAACCAGAGAGATAATTAACTATAACTACCCACGTCACCAACCAGAGAGATAATTAACTATAACTACCCACGTCACCAACCAGAGAGATAATTAACTATAACTACCCACGTCACCAACCAGAGATAATTAACTATTACTACCCACGTCACCAACCAGAGAGATAATTAACTATTACTACCCACGTCACCAACCAGAGATAATTAACTATTACTACCCACGTCACCAACCAGAGAGATAATTAACTATAACTACCCATCACCAACCAGAGAGATAATTAACTATAACTACCCACGTCACTAATTGGCTACCTTACGGATAATTACCCTCCCCATCTTCTCTCACTCTCTACTGTCTCTCCTAAAAACAACAACAATAATAATAATGATCCTTCCTGTAATCACGCCCTCACCCCCACCCAGACACCCACCTTACACCACCCACCCACCTTACACCACCCACCCACCTTACACCACCCACCCACCCTACACCACCCACCCATCCTACACCCACCCACCCACCCCCACCACCCACCCATCCTACACCCACCCACCCACCCTACACCACCCACCCATCCTACACCACCCACCCACCCTACACCACCCACCCATCCTACACCACCCACCCACCCTACACCACCCACCCATCCACACCTCACCCACCCACCTTACACCACCCACCCACCACACCACCCACCCATCCTACACCACCCACCCACCCTACACCACCCACCCATCCTACACCACCCAGACACCCACCTTACACCAACCCACCCACCTTACACCACCCATCCTACACCACCCACCCAACTTACACACCACCCACCCATCCTACACCACCCAGACACCCCAACTTACACCACACCCAACCACCTTACACCACCCACCTTACACCACCCACCCACCCTACACCCACCCACCCACCTTACACCCACCTACACCCACCCCACCCACCCTACACACCACCCACCCATCCTACACCACCCAGACACCCACCTACACCACCACCCACCTTACACCACCCACCTACACCACCCACCCACCCCTACACCACCCACCCATCCTACACCACCCACCCACCCTACACCACCCACCCATCCTACACCACCCAGCACACCCACCCTCACACCACCCACCCATCCTACACCACCCACCCACCCTACACCACCCACCCATCCTACACCACCCACCCACCCTACACCAACCCACCCATCCTACACCACCCACCCACCCTACACCACCCACCCATCCTCACACCACCCACCCACCCTACACCACCACCCACCCATCCTACACCACCCACCCACCTACACACCACCCACCCACCTACACCACCCACCCACCTACACCACCCACCCATCCTACACCACCCACCCACCCCACACCACCCACCCATCCTACACCACCCAGACACCCACCTTACACCACCCACCCACCTTACACCACCCATCCTACACCACCCACCCACCCTACACCACCCACCCATCCTACACCACCCAGACACCCACCTTACACCACCCAACCACCTACACCACCCACCTTACACACCCACCCACCCTACACCACCCACCCACCTTACACCACCCACCTTACACCACCCACCCAACTCTACACCACCCACCCATCCTACACCACCCAGACACCACCTTACACCACCCACCACCCACACCACCCACCTTACACCACCCACCCACCCCACCACCCACCCATCCTACACCACCCACCCACCCTCACACCACCCACCCATCCTACACCACCCAGACACCCACCCTACACCACCCACCCATCCTACACCACCCACCCACCCTACACCACCCACCCATCCTACACCACCCACCCACCCTACACCACCCACCCATCCTACACCACCCACCCACCCTACACCACCCACCCATCCTACACCACCCATCCACCCTACACCACCCACCCATCCTACACCACCCAGACACCCACCTTACACCACCCACCCACCTTACACCACCCACCCATCTACCCTACACCACCCACTCCTCCCTATCGTGTCTCTTGTGATCGTTTTCAAGAGAGTCTGGCAAATTCTTCCTTATGATACAACGGAATAAAGGTGGAAATAGTCGTAAGGATATATAGGCTATAGGTACCATCTTAAAATAGACCTTACGAGACGGTGAAATAAAGACGAAAATTATCTATAATCCACTCAAAATA